AGGCGAGGGAACACTGACTCCATTTATTGTATTCATCAAAGGGGTCTTTGGGCTGCACTTTGTCTGATCCCTCACCGAGGACCTGTTTGCCTTGGGTGACCCTACCGGGGGCATGAAGCCCCCGACAATATAGCTCCTAGGATCATTGGGACACTCAAATGTCTCCATTACGATAAGGTGGCAGCCCAAGGAGAAAATACTTTCTGGGCATTTCATTAAAATCTATCCAGTGGTTCGTGAGTTTTTTTTCTAACTGACAAAAAGGCCCAACTGCTGGTTTTCTTGTTTACATTTAAAAAAGCATTTTGTGCAGTCTGAACATGCTTAGGTTTTGGGAATCACCCTCAGCTTTATCTACACCAAATTTCAGCTCATTATGCTTAAAATTGACTGAGTTATAGTTATTTTTGAATTTGATAAGTTTGATTAGCTGTGGCGGCCAATTTGAATTGTAATGACTTCAAATGTAAATCAGCTGTAGATGTATATCCAGATGTTATTTTCTGGAAGTTTCAATAAAATCGGTCCACTGGTTGATGAAATATTTTGCTAACAGACAGTCATTTTGGCTTTTAGTAGTTTTCCCATGAAGTGATCCAGAAAATAAACCCAGACATGACCCCCACACTCCCTTCGCTGACAGCTGATTGTCATTGTGGTTGCCTCCTTTTTAAAAAATTGTCCTCCCCACTAAAAGATGCTGCTAAATATAGTTCTGTCACATGAAAGGCATTTTTTATACGCGTGTGTGTTCACCGTGAGGACGGCTAATCTAGAGAACGCACAACCTCCCCGTGCAGACAGACACAATCAAGCTTTTCTCTGAGGAACAAACATTTAAACAATCACTTCTCAACAAACGCTGTTTCCTGTTTCAATATCGCTTTGTGTGTTCCAATTTCATGTTTGAGCTTTAAGGTTATTATATTTGTGCAGCAGATGGTGGGGCTGTTTAAAGGGGTTTGTGTTATTCAGTGACTTCTGACTTGTTATTTTAAAAAATCTGTTGCATTCACAATCAGACCAGYTTTTAATCAGCCTCCTTTGAATTCATTTCATCCATAAAAGCAACAATTATTCARCTTAATTATCAAGTTAAAAAGAAGACATCTAGTTCAGTGGCCTGTTTTATAGCTAATGATGCTTTTGCATTTTGTTTGGAAGCAATAATAAAGAAATGAGACAGAAAATCAAATTTACATTCAACTCTTTAACCCCTAAATCAGTGGTTTAATCATTAAGAGGGTGTTTGTAATCATTTCCTGACTCCTCTGACCTTAATTCATCTAATTTAAAAGTCAGTTTTTTAAAGTCCAATCTTAAAAAAGGGAGGACTAACTACATTATTCAACGTTCCGACTAAATATTGCCCAAGTTTCTCCAAAGTGCTAGTCTTCATCGGCTTCAAGTTGTTTGCCATCCATCATTTTTAATGACTCGCTTCCACTCAAACTGTGACAGACTGACAGAAATAGTGGGTTTTTGGGAAGTTTGTTCCAGCTTTAGAAAAGAGACATCCCAGAACATTTGGACAACTGGTGTCCTACTTTAAGCCCTGATCATTTTTTATTTTTTTCTGTTACAAAATGTAAATTAGAAATATATATTTTTTCTAAGTTGGAACAAAAGCTGTGAAAATAGACTTTGTATTGGTCCTGACATCTAACACTGTTACTGAGCAAAAGTTATGGGAGGTAAAACTATTACCTCATTCCGGAGCAATACCTGGTAGGGATTGTCTATTTTATAACTTTTTAGCCTTTTGTTGTTGTTGYAAAGAAATGTTGGCCTACTTGTTTTTACAAAGGCCTGGTTCAGACCTGCCAAAAACCATCCGTTGTCAATCTGCAATCTAAGTGGATTAAAGGCATTCACACCAAGCCGTTTAACTCAACTTGAAGTGAGTTACCGAACATCAACAGGTTTCAAAGCCATTTTGGTCACTAATATTGGAACTAGCTTCTCATTTAGCGGATTAACTTTTTTGCCAACTTTGGAAACCTTTACAAGACCAATTAGCTTCCGCTAATTTTAGGTCCACTAAAAAATTCACTAGTGTAAAACTTCTAGCCTGGCCCTCACCTTCCTACGCAGCTCCGCTCAGTTCTAGTTTCCCTTCACTGCTCCGTCTGGGACTTCTCCCATTGAGATGGATTTCACTGGCAAATTTTAGCCGGGCCAATCAGAGAAGAGAAGGTCAATTTTCTGCGCAGTGTCTCTTGTAGTTTATTTTACCTGGACCAATCAGCAAACAGAAGGAGGAGCTTTGAACGACGTTGGTGTTCTGCGCAGTGTCTGCTAGTTAGTTTAGCATACGGCAGTGGAGGAAGTGAATGAAGTCAGTCTGTGTTGATAAGGCTTCAAATTAAAATTAAATTTGTCTGACAAAGCAGCAGCTCTCATTTACAGTCGTCTCATTCAGCTCGGTACTTCTCTCCTCTCAGTAGGGTTGTTTACAGCACACGTGATTTCCGGTTA